AACTGGAAATTCGCATTTTTTCAAAAAATTTGCATTTGTCATTTTTTCACAAAGCGAGCATTTACCCAAAAAACGGCCAGACTTCATGCAAAAAACCGAAAATCATGCACCTGGATGTCCGTGCGGCTCTATAATGCACCACTTTCATCCCAACTAATGCCCTTCCTCCTGCATGCCGGTAAGGATCAAAGCACAGCCAATATTAGCCCAAGTGTTAGGCTACAGCGTAGGAATCATTCCTGCTAATAGCGATCTGCAAGTTTAGTGCAAAAACGCATGATCGCACCGGAGAGTCTGGTGCATTCCAGCCTGGGTTAAGTTTGCCATGAAACTGGGTATTTTTCATGTCTGCGCCCGGAAAATTTCACCTCCAATCTTAATTTAGACACACTTGAATATAGAATATCCTTGCAAAGCTCAACCTTGCAACTTATCTGGTTAGCGAAATAGTTCACTACAAATATCTTTGAAATGCTCTAAGTCGTGGCGCAAATGCACGATTTTTTAGGTGCGCGGTTTTTCATAGGAACAAAATATTCTGAAAAAACTTTGGCTACTAACTTCCAGCTAGTTTTCGAGTTAACACAATGCCAACTGAAAAATTTTGCCGTAACCGGAGGAGCGGTATAAGCATGTGCAATAACTGGATTTGAAGTCTTTAACTCATACATGCACATGGAATATCCCTGCAAAGTTTCAGCTTTCTATTTCCTCTGGATCTCGAAATCTCCCGCCAAAGAAATCCGCATATTTTTTTCGGCGATCCGCATTCGAAATCTAGGCGCGTAGGAGTGGATTTTAAAAAGGTAGGGTAGAGCATGGGATGGGAATATGACCCCAAAAATTTCAGCCTCCCAACTTTCCTGGTTGCTGAGTTGAAAGTGAATAACAAAGTTCGTTCGCTTCCAAAAATACACGTACATGCTGTCGACTTCCCGAGAATGTTTTTTTTTGCCCGCTGTGGTAGCGCTATAGTGCTGCACAGCTAGAGCGTATAAAAACGACCGTTAAATAGAAATTGCCCGTTTTCTTTTATGCAAAATATGCAATAATTTAGGCCAACGATTAATTTAGTTAAATGTAAGGCTACAACCACTCGTACAGATAACTGCTTGATTGCTTTAAATGTAGTGCAAAAACGTATAACCACACTGACAAGCCTGGCGCGCTTTTCAGCCCAGGTTGTTTGCTACCAAATGCGGGTGTCGTCACGCTTTTGGCATGCCGTGCTTGAAAGCACATTCTAAATAACTAGGCCGTAAATAGTCATAGAAAATTGTAAATTTTTTTCTTACTAGCCAGACTGATTTTTGTGTCAGAGACGTATCAACAGTTTCTACTTTGAAATTTGTTATCATTCGTGTGAGAGTCGTGCAATTTCGTGGCAGCTGAACAAATATTTTCATTGTCTTCCTAAATGTTCAGCTTTTTATTCTGATTCCTGTGCTAAAAAGTTTTTAGTCAAACCTTTCAAGTGTCCGCAGTTGCGACACAAGTGCTTCCGCCGAAACTGAATTTAAGCTCGAACTATAACCAGTGGACAAGATTTTTTTACAATTTCAGCTTTGCAATATCTCTGTATGCTGTGTTTGTTATCAATGCCATGATTTTTGCACAGTGCAAGTATTGAATGAGGATTCCAAAGCAAATGATAAAATGCGCCACTTTTTTTTTAAAAAAAGATCACTTTTTTGAACGCCTTTTTGATTGCCTCAGTATCTCGAAACAATTGAAGCCTTTTTCATTTTTAATTGATCAGGAATGACAAAAACACGCATTGTTTTGTAATATTTTAGGTATGATGGAATTATTTCAAATACCAGCGCATGTTCTTGTTTCTCCGACTGTAGTTCCCGAATACTGCAGTGTTGTTCTTGGAATGCCGATTGTCCCAAGCTATCTTCCCAGTAGGTTTTTATTCATCATTGTTATAATCCAAAACCAATCACTACATGTACCATCGTTAAGCAATTGTATAGTAATTTTGCATTACTGCCCGTTTATTTACAAAAATGTTGAATGACTGACAAATTTCATCAACATATTCGCACAAATGTCGAGCCCCAAAACACATTTTACGCTTGCATACTTACGTATGGAAAACAAATAGTGCCGAAAAGTTAGAAAGCGCAGCTAGTTTGACCCTCGACTTGGCGCTTTGCCAGCGATCTTTTAATCTCAGCTTTGACTTGGCTGTACGCGCGACTTTCGTTAAAGCTAAAAAAAAAGATCTTTGACTAATCATAAATGACACAAAATATCCACTCGGAGTTTCAGTCCCCTGTTTTGTCTAGTTCCTAAAATCGCTCTCTTCGAAAAATTCACATCATATATGAGACCCAAGAGCGATGATGTTTTTGAAGAGGGAGAGATGCGCATGGTATAAGCATATACTTTTTAGCTTCTCCGGTTCTCGAATTGAAAATGGGTGACAAAATGCGAAAAAATGCGGAAACACACGCACGCACACATGCAAACACAAACAACTTCTTGTCATTTGTTTTTGCATTTGCATAAACATGGAAAAATTCACAGAAATGAATTTTAGTTTAAACTTAACAATATGAAAGCATATTTGCTGCAGTGTCAAAAAACGCCCGCGAATAATAGAAATAGACTTTTCGGGTCAGGTCTGTTTACATCGTTCACGGAAGAAATGACATATTACCAACGAGCGGCAAATCTCTTCGTCACATTTTTATCAATGAAGTGGACAGAATGGATATTCACCAAACAGCAAGTGCTTTTCCGTCGACTTTATGGCGAACAGTTCATTGATCTGAACGTTCGTTCAACTTTTGTGTGTTTTTTTTTCTCCAGATCATTCACCGAATTCTTTAAATTATTCACCGTCATATCTCTAGCATATAAAAAAACATTTCGGTTTCACTGCATCCCGGTTATATTCGAACTACCAAGACTTTCCTGAATTTTATTTTGTTCTTTTGATCAGTTGTTTTCCATTGCCGTTTTCCTGCTCGTCATCAAAGTTACTGCCATTTTCGTGCTCGCCACTAATTCAGTTACTGTCTTCTCCGTGCTGTTCTATTTTAAGCTCACTGACCCGAAAAATTCATGGGTGTTCAAGCAATTTCCCAAAACGCTTAAACTGCTCATGCATTTTCCTTACAATGAGGACTGAAAAGTACCGTGGAATCCATGCCGTTTCAAGCTGTCGAGAGCAACCGTTTGAAAATGCTAGCACCTTGCTAATATCAATCACCTGGTAGGAAAAGAGCGAGGGGCAGCTAGTGAGAGTGCTCATTTTCGACGGCTACCAGGAAATAACTTGACGATTTTGGTCATGCGTCAAGCACAGGCACCAACTGCGAAAGCAAATTGTATGCGTACACTTTGTGATTTTTTTTACCTGTTATCTCTGGGCTTCTCCTTTAAGAGAAGAGCAAAATGATATCCTGTAAATCGCACTAATCCAACTTATACGCCTCGCCGTGGTAGTGAAAGGGAGGAGTGTTGAGGCAGGCAGGTTATAGGCTCTGGCTTCGCCTATGTTAAGGAGATACTAGCAATTTTGAACAATTCGTATTTTCAATACACCTTTATCTACAATTATTTTCATTCCATTTTTAATCTTCTGTACAGACTCTTTTTACCTCATTTTGCAGGAGAAATTTGCGCAAGCAACTTACGTGCTGACCAATGCTGATCCATTTTTTGACTTCCCGAAGCCAACGATCCACAAAGTGAAGGAACTTGGAGGTGCTGCTGTTCCAAAAGCAGAACCATTAAATGAGGTGCGCTAAATCAAAACCTACGCTACACAGAGCAACAGTGCGCTTGCTAGAAGAGCCGTTTTAGCGGATTTGTCCGATTTTGATGCATCAACGAAAATCAGAAGTTAAAAAAAAATACTACTTGCATTCACTAAGATGGGCAGAAATATCACAAAGTAGAATGGTAGCATTTTACTAAAACCGTCGACAATAACTAACCAGGAAAAACGGTGCCGATGACTTTTTCTTCCGTGAGTTACTTAGAAGCAAACTAGTGGTCTATTGACTTGTTTCGATACAAATACTCTCAAAATGAACGATGATTTATAGCTTCTTTGGGATTGCTTTCCTCACTACTTCTTTCAAGCAATCGATTTCACCTGAATGAGTAGCACCCACATGTGGCTATCTGCAAATCCCTGAGGCATAGTTTTTTTAAAGAGTCCATACGCGGCACCCAGGCGTCCGCGAGGAATGATATTAAAACGGGAGGGTAGCGCATGGTATGGGCACATACTCCCAAAGTTTCAGCCTTCTAGTTTTTCTGTTTCTCGAGTTGAAGGTGGGCAACAAAAAGTGTAAACACACAGACACACAGGCACAGACACAGACACAGACACACACACACACACACACATACACAGCCTCTTCCCAAAGTGCGTTTTTGCAATTTGCATATATGCAAAAACGCATAAAAACTGATAATCATGTACTTGAAGGTTCATGCGGCCCTATAATTCGATGCTTCATCCCAGCCATGCCGTTTCTTCTGCATGCCAGAAGAGGCCAGAGCACGGCCAATATGAGCCCAAGTTTTAGACTTCAGCGCAGGGGTCATTCCTGCTATTAGCGATCTGCGAGTTTGGTGCAAAAAAGCATGATCGCACCGGCTAGCCTAGTGCGTTCTAGCCTGGATTTGATGAACGACCGCTTATCAAAAACTATTCATTTCTCTTCGTGCAAAACAGATTATCATGCACTTTGGAAGTTCATCATGATGCACCACTTTCATCTTAGCTGACCCCCTTCTCCCCTGTATGCAGCAAAAGACTAAAACGCAAGCAAGCTCACGTATTGAAGCACAATGTAGTAAATTTCACATTATTGGTGATCTGACTGCTGCAAGTTTAGCGCCAAAACTCATGATCGCACCGGCAAACCTGGTGCACCAGAATCTGAGCTCTGAGTAGTATTTGATTAGGCTGATTTTCTGGAAGCTGTTGCTGTTCAACTGACATAATTAAGCATTGGTCAGCGATAATGAGCCAACGAAAGAAAGCGGTACTTGTATCGTTCGGTTCCGTGGTAGCCAGCTATGTGATGCCAAATGAAACAAAACAAGCCTTCTTGAAAGCGTTCGATCGATTCCCAGATGTGACGTTCATCTGGAAATACGAAAAGGAGGAGCACCACATTGCCGACGGGCATCCAAATTTAATCACCGATAAATGGCTACCCCAAACAGACCTACTCGGTAATGCTATTTTTATCATAAAGATAGCTGTTGTTACAACTTACCGCAAATAACTGCTACCTTTCATAAATACTTGTCATAATTTGATAACCAGTATGTTCCCTCGTCCGCACAGTGTTGGTCAGTACATACATAAGTGACATCGCGGAGCAGCTAAGGCCCTGCTTCTGCTTACGAAAAACTGTCGGTCGCTTCAGACGGCGGCATAAACGGCAGCAAAGTCAGCAATATGCCCAGCAAGCGACACAACACTGGTCAAAGCAAATGGTAAATGTAGCCAGTTGCACAGTCGAAAAACCAGAACCTGAATTTACCGGCGATCTAAGCATTCCAAGAATAAAATTTTTTGGAGGTCTACATATAACGAACTTTGAAATATTGTAGCGCATCCAAATTTGGTGGCATTTCTGACGCACGGTGGTATGAATAGCATCACGGAAACGCTAAATCGTGGCAAGCCTGTCATTGTGGTGCCTGTCTTTGGTGACCAGTTACGTAACGCTGTGCTAGCAAAGCGAGCCGGTTTTGGGATAATGCTACCGGTTTCGGATCTTCAAGATGAGAAGAAACTCAGTGATGCGTTCGAGCAAATTATTAATAATAAAAAGTAAAATTAACTTTTTATTTCAGTTCTTTCTAAAGTAACGGCAATTTTTCTTCGCGAGAGCATATACTGGGACCGTGCAATTACTTAAAATGGCATAATCATGCAATTACTTAGAATCTGGAGCAGTTAATAACCTAACTGAATGGCCACTGCTTAACATTTAACTTCACCACAAATTTTACGTAAAGGAAAAGGGATAATTTCCAGTGAGCGGTCCATCATTAAAAATAACCTAGTTGTTGTGATTTCCGAATTAACAATTTCCCCCCAAAATCTTAGTGTGCGCATAAATGAGAACTATGCACATCTAGGTGAGGTATTTAGAATCTTTATACCTGGACAGGAACATCCTCTTAAAATTTCAGCCTTCTAGTTTTTATGCGTTTTTGCATATATGTAAATTGCAAAAACGCATATTGGGAAGAGGCTGTCT